GCATATGCTTATCACCTGTGGACAGTTTATTTTTAATAGAGTAGATGTTTTGTAGTAGTAATAACGAGTTCAATAGCACTTTGAAAACAAACTTATCTTCATGAGCAAAATTATACTTTGTCAAAATATAGTCACCTCAATAAAGGCAATGTACAGTATGTATACATGTCTGTCAGAGCAGGGGGGAAAGAGAGAGAGAGAGAGACAGAGAGAGAATATGTGTATATGTCTGTTGGATGTTTTCTCATAATCCATAAATAGAACCATTTCATTCCTTGACACTTTTTTGCATTTTCTTTTACTAATTTCTTCAAATATCTTTTTAAAATATCCTGTTCTTGTTAATCTAGTGATCATAGGGTCTCTTAAAGCTTTCTAGATCAAGATTTTTCTTTCTACCTAATACTGCCTTTTCTCTCTCTCTTCTTTCCCCTTTATTCTTGCATAGGCTTAACCAAAGATGGCAATAATGAAAATATTGATTCACTTGAGGAAGTCCTTAATATTTTAGCAGAGGAAAGTTCTGATTGGTTTTATGGCTTCCTCTCATTTCTCTATGATGTAATGACTCCTTTTGAAATAATAGAAGAAGAAGAGAACGATGCAACAGATGATGTTGATGGTACGTCACAGAATGAAGGGGTTCAAGGAAAAAAGACATGTGTTATTGTGGATTTGCAGAATCAATGACTTCGGTTCCTGGAACAATTCATTGATCAAAGGAAATGTCCATAACATTAACTAAGTGCAAAAAGGTGCTGGAGTAAAACAGGGTAAATCCCTCTTATGGACAGATCAGTTGTATGAAGACTTACTATCTAAACTCTTTTAGAAATATACATTCAAAAGACAAAATGAAATAACATTTGTCAGTATTAACCCAACAGTATCCTAACTAGCGTGATTGGTTTATGTCTGCTTTTGCACTAAAATGCACAAGCTCTATAGTAATAGCCTACATTACTAATCTGTAAATGGTTCTTTTTTCTAAGAAATGTTAATTGGCTGTAAATATTTAGGCATGTCTGACAAGTTGTGTATATATTGATACTCTAGATTTTAAGATTCTGCCTACCCTAACATTAAATTAGAGAACTATTACTGAATTTAGTATCAGTAATTATTTCCTAATTTTTTAGTTTCTTTGACTTTACAGAACATATATTGAGAATAGTTGTTAACATCTATTATCTGGCTAATAAACTATTCATTATTTAAAACCAAGCATGCAACTTCTATATATTTTTAAAACAAGTTTCAGTCACTTACTTCTTTGTATATTACTATTCTTTCAAAGGCAGTTTGTTTGTTTAAAAAGTGAATATTTTATGAGAATAAGAACTGTAAGTATACCCCCATGCCCACTCATGTATATATGTGTTTTTGTAATGCTGAACATATTAAAGATAGTCAGTACAAACTGACTTTCAAAGTTGTGGCTGACTTGGGTTTGATTTTATTCCTCATCTTAACCCTGGTCTCATAATGAGATAATTGATTATTCAGACTCTTGAAATCCAACACTTTCTCATTGCCTATGTTTCTGTGCACTGTATTCCCTTTCTGGAAAATGTTAACTTTGGGAAGGATAGAATCCAATCTCCTACACTACATGCACATCATCGAATAAATGCTCAACTTTGCAGATCAAGGATTAGTCTTGTGAACAGTAGCAGCTTTAATTATTTGTCCTGATATTGCTATACGGTTTTAAATAATATTTACAGCTTACAAGAGAGCTCTGTAATTTTTATTGCTTGCCTTACTTGATAATACTGAGCATGTAATTGTGAACAGCTGCTTTTAACTTCTGCTTATTTTGCTGTCATGCTAATATGTAAATAATTTGCATAAAATCTTTCATTTTTTCTGTTCAAATCAAAATTTATCAGCTGAACCCTGGATTTCTGTGACCACCTTCAACTGTATCTGATATAAACAATGAGTTTTCCATCACATTATAAAATAACTTTTTGAGTTGTATGAATAAACATTCTGATCATGTAGTATATACTTTGTATCATTAGCTACCTTAGAACACCTTAATTGTAGATCTTGGAAGTCGATATATAATGAATAGTGAATGTGTTGTAACAAAATATTTGTACTCTAGAATTTACTTTGCTAACTCTTTTTATATACACAATTTTTATATAATTAATACTTCACATTATATTATTAATACTGCACATTAAATGGATGTTTAGTTTATCTTACTTTCATTCAAAGATTCCCAGTCTCATTAGGTCAGAATAAACTTGCTGAATTCATATTCTCATGTTACGTTCTTCCCTTCACATTTATAGAGCAAGGCTTGAAATAGGCACCCTGGATTATTTATGAAAGCTCATGAAATAGAACTCTGTATAAAGGGGTTTTAAATTGCATATGAAACTTAACACAAATAGAGCAAGATCTCTTCTGAATATGTGAGAAATTGATGGAGGTTGATTGGAGGTTACAGATTATGAGAGATTCTTCCCACTCACATGCCTATTAGGTAAGTCTGAATATGCAAATAGAACTGAATTCCTGTTTGTAAATGGTCTTTATTCACAACCTATTAACAGATAAGTCAGTAGTCTTGGAATCAGTCTTGGTCCTAGATTATTTATTAAATTAACATACCGTATTCACCTTTATTTAAGAATTTAGAAAGTAATTTTAAAATATACTTTAGTGTTACTTTTTTCATTAGGAAAAACTATAAGATATTTTCTTCCTGTCTGTGTAGCTTTTACTTTATTTTTTATTGGGGGGATTAAATATAAATATAATTTCAGTTTATATCAGTTTTACTAACTTGTGCAAGAATGTTAAAAATATCTTGCCACAATTGCATAATATTTAAGACTAACACAGTATTGTAAGATTTATTTTGCTCAGGGAGGTGATCTCTTATTTCATGAAATTGATTTATAATTGTTTCTAAATTGCACTTGGAACAATGGCACTTGGGCCCCGAGCACTGAATATTAAGAGCCCAATTAGATTTGAGATAGAATGGGACAAAGAATTTAATGAACTTAACTGAGCTTTTCAGAGTTTGATAATATACAGTGTGGGTGTAACCTCCAATCCTCTGTCTATAACAGCATTTTCCATGCTGAAGGCTTTCTTTGTCTTTATACTCCATCTAAAGGTTATAAAGGCTAAAGATATACTCTAAAAAGTAAGTACTATAGGATCATGACAAAACTTTAAATTACACCTGCATCTGCATAATATTTTCTTTCACATTTTAAATATAACAATTTGTTGGCAATGTTCACACCCAAGATTTTCAAGGATCTTCTAAGCTTGGTCTAAAATATAATGAAATTTTTTGGTAATAGGTGAAATGCTGGGGGAAAGGAGGAACCTGTTTAATTTCAACTGTTCAACTGCAATCAGCAGTACTGACAAGGGCTGAGAGGAGTAGTATTTCAGCATGAATGGGGGATATTAGATTGTCTACAACTTGTGGCCTCCTGCCTTTTCAAATACCTTTACCTCTTGAGTTCTGACAGGCCCATGTCCTCATGACCTTCAAAAAAGCTTTGAAGACCTGGCTTTTCTCATAAGTATTCGGATAATTTGTGGCTGGCACCTAAGAAACTTGTCTGTTGGTTATGAGGCATGTGTTTGGGGGCACCAATAGTTTTTATGTAGGTTTTATGTTTTTATTTTTTTAATATTGTTTGTAAGCCATCCAATATTTTGATTCATAAGGTGGGTAATTATAGATCTTAAATAAACATAAACTAAAACAAACAGTTTAGAATCATGGGACAGGTGTGATGTAGCTATTACTTGTACAGCTTGTTTAACACTTCTAAAGAAAAGAACAATTTCAATCCTGTACTTATCTCTATGACTCATGCCATAGTTGCTCACAACTGATAACTCACAAATCAGATTTCTGTGAACTATTACAGATATTCATATATCCACGTGTCCAGCATACTTTTCTAAGGTAGTTGACATATTTTCAGAGCCCAGATTGTGTTTATTTGTTTATAAACATGTTGTTGTTAATTGCGAAGTCGTGTCCGACCCATCGCAACCCCATGGACAACGTTCCTCCAGGCCTTCCTGTCCTCTACCATCTTCTGGAGTCCATTTAAGCTCACGCCTACTTCTTCAGTGACTCCATCCAGCCACCTCATTCTCTGTCGTCCCGTTCTTCTGTTGCCCTCAATCTTTCCCAGCATTAGGCCCTTTTCCAGTGAGTCCTTCCTTCTCATTAGGTGGCCAAAGTATTTGAGTTTCAACTTCAGGATCTGGCCTTCTAAAGAGCAGCCAGGGTTGATCTCTTTTAGGGCTGACCGGTTTGATTGCCGTGCAGTCCAAGGGACTTGCAGGCGTCTTCTCCAGCACCATAGTTCAAAGGCCTCAATTCTTTGTTGCTCAGCCTTTCTTATGGTCCAACTTTCACAGCCATACATTGCAACTGGAAAAACCATGGGCTTGACTATACGCACTTTTGTTGGCAGGGTGATGTCTCTGCTTTTTAGTATGCCGTCTAGATTTGCCATAGCTTTCCTCCCCAGGAGCAAGCGTCTTTTAATTTCTTGGCTGCAGTCCCCATCTGCGGTGATCTTGGAGCCCAGGAAAATAAAATCTGTCACTAGTAAACATATTTGACCCCAACCATACTTTTCAATCCAATGACTGCAACAAATTAAACCTCAGTACAGTTATAACTAGAGATAATTAACACCAGGAAAAGTGAAGTTGGAATTCCAAGTCTAGTAACATGAATAAACTAATGTCTACTGGAATAAAAATTGGGATGGTTCCTTATCCTGCTTTATTAGCTGTAAAAATTTTCTTTGTTAAAATGAGATATTAAACAAATCTTGTGTATTATGTTTTTTCTAGCTTTACTAAATAATGAAAAATTTAAATATAGAATAGCTTCATTGTGAAATATTTCTGGTGGAAATTTTATTTTTTAATTAGTGTATGAAATGTCCTAAAATAATGCTTGCAACCTATTTCCATTTTTAAAAATTCAGGAGTAAAACCTGGAGAGATTATCAAGAGCAAAGTCAAAGGTACTTTACTACCAAGCCTTAGCAATGATTATTGCATATTGATCATTGATGCCTGCGGTGCATGAGTTTTGCCATGTTAATAATTATGGCTACTAACTTTGGATACTATCATACAAATTTCATATGTGGCCTATTTTACTAAACAGTTTTTCAAAAGATTAAAGCAGTTTGTTATATTTATATTCTGCTTTTGCTTCAATAGCTCAAGATACTTTGCATTGTGCCTCCAGCATATAATACTGAATTACCCCATTCCTAATATATAACATTTTGATTACTATTCCACAGTAGAATTTCTCCTGAAAACAGTTCTCTATTATAAATTTATAGAAACAAGTTTTTAAGTTCATATCAACTAGCTGGAGAAAAAAAAATAAGATGCTTTTACTGAGATCTATCAGCTGGAGTTATATATAATTATAGTCTCAAAAACATACATACAACTCTTATAAATTATCTTTCTAATGATATAAACAAGATTTTGAATTTATTTATCCTGGTGCTTGACAGATATTTAATTACTTTTTGTCTATCAGATGTGTAAACTCTTGCCTTATAATTTTACTCTTGCAAAACATTTGGGCAAGCAATACAATCACATGAATTGATAAGTTCCCCATTTCTATATGATAAGTGAAAATGTGTTTGAAATCCCTTTGAGTAGTATAATACTCTGAAAATATGTAATAAATTTACCTTATACCTCTATTTAGGATGTAACAATGATTATTTTAAACAAGTTAGCATATAGGCATGAGGATTTTTGTATGGAAAAAACTATATGATGGATCATATACATTTTATTTATAATGTCATTTGATATTAATACATTTATTTTCAATCATATTTAAAGTTCCAAGAGCTTTTGGGGCTTAGACAGTGTACTAGAAAAAAATTAAGGGTTGATGTAAGATTTTCCACACTCTGTGAGTACAAAGGATATTCATTCCCTTTGATGAACGTTGGCTTGGATGCATGCCTAGTGAGAAGAACAATTTGGAAAGGTCTTTGATTCTATTTGTCTGTCTTTTCTTAACATTGATGATTCCAGGTTATTTTTCCTTCAACTGAATTCACTTTAGAGTTTTGGAGTGCCACAGTACTTGAAAATTATGCAAAATGGCTATTTTAAGAAAATAATCATTCATGCATCTGTCACTTGTTCATCCTTGCCTCACTTCCATGATTGCTAATATTGTGTATTTTGAGATACTCTAGGCATGGAAGCCAGTATTTGAGTAAATTTAGATTTGATATGCCTTGTAGCACTAACAAATTAATTGTATAACACATTTTTTATATTTTAAATTTCTTACATTGTCAGAAAAAAATCTTGTCAACATTTATTTATTGGGGAATAACATATTCAAGTTTAACCTGAGTAACATAGATGTGCATCTTAATCTCTTCAATAATTTGCTTAAACCTATTAAAATATTGCATTCTTTTCCTGTTTTATCAACATAAAACACTGATTTCCAAGAATGTTTTACTAGGTCAGGATTAAGTTCAATTAAATAATGCTAATTGAAGTTGGGTATGAGAGGATATTTTTGTTGTTGAACTAACCACATGTCATTGCTGAAGTTAATGACAGTGCTGAACTTAACATTTTCTAAAAAAAGACTTAACATCAACCTTCTCCAGCTGGTTCTCTGTGGATGTATAGAATCTACACAACATGGCTAGCATAGTCATTGCCATGATTTATTTCTTTATTTAAATAACTAATATAGCCATCCATCTTGTAGCTGTGAATCTGGATGGCACAGACAAAGTTAAACTAACCCCCCAGTAATATAATATATAAATAACCAAATATTAATCAAAATAATAGTAATGTTAAAATTTGTTTTGGGTAGCTTAATTAATACAGTAAAAAAATTAAAATAAAAACAGCAATTAAAATAACAGAGTAACAGCTTAAATAATATCTGTACAGTGACATATGACCAAAACATCTTCACTTGACATTAAAAAGCATAGTAAAATTCATGTCAATTATACTTCATTGAAAAGGATGTTCCGTAGACCGGGGGTCCCCCAGCCCCCCGATCTGCAGACTGGTACTGGTCCACGGCCTGTTGGGAACCAGGCCGCTCAAGCATGGGAGAGTGCATGAAACTATTTGTGCAAGCAGCGTGTGTTCATGCAAAACCATCCCCCCCCATCACCACTGCCAGTCTGTGGAGCTGGAAAGTTTGGGGACTACTGCCATAGACTGCTGCTGAAAAGGCCTGCCTTGAGTAAACGGCTATACCTGTAGAATACATCTGATTTCAGTGTACAGAAAAGAACATAATAACAAAATTGTAAAAGAATAGGAAGAGCAGAAATGAAGTGGGACTCTGTATGAAAGTAATAGAAGACTGAGATAATATGCTTATACTACCCACTTCCATTCAGTAGTCTTCCTGTAATTGTTTTAGTTTTGCAGTTCAGTCACGTGATTGCCATTTGTGCACTGTACAGTTGGCTTCAGACAAGCAGAGTCAATGGAATAGCCTTCAGTAAATTGCAAGACATCACATGATGTCTCACTTAACAACCATGCCACTTAGTGCAGATCCCAGTTATGGTCATTAAACATGGATTAAATTGCATTATATTGTGTAAGTATTGAACAAAGATAACTCTACTAGTAAAGAATACAAATGTGGCAAAATTTAATTTTAAACACTTAAGTAGGAAGGATCTCAACAAGAACAATGAAGCAACCCTAAGATCACTCCCCATAAAAGTAAAAGGCAGAAAAGGCTATAAATTATATATATTTTTCTGCTTCTACTAATATTGTGTGATCAACTTATTTTGAAGTGGAAACATAATTATGATTTGAACTTGGAATGGATATGCATTTGGCATGCTGATACCTGGTCTCTTAATTTTTAAAAATATTTTCCTTTTTTTAAATAATGAAAAAGTAATCAAAGAATCAGCTAAGAAAACAAAAGAAAAGCAGCAATTAAAGAAAGAAGCCAAAGAAGAAGAAAAGAAGAAGATAAAGAAAAAAATTGAGGACTTTGATATAAAGGATGAGAAAATTGATGATAAATCAAAAAAAGATTCTCATAAAATTAAGCAAGATAGAAAACCTGGAAAAGAAAAATCAGAGTTAGACAAAAATCATAAAGGTAAAGATATGAAAGTATTGCCTGATGACAAAGATAAAGAAGTAAAGAAGTTAGCAAAGAGTCTTTCTAAAGCATCTGAAGAAGATAAAAGAAAAAAAACAAAGTAACACTTTTTAATGTCTGAATAGTGCTTTAGTCAAAAGAACGAAAGAAACCATAGATATTTAATCTGTAATACATTTTTTCTTAATTAGTTGGAATAAACAAGAATACATGTTTATTTCCATCCAGCCTTAATGTGTGAATTTATAAACATGCAGTATTCCAGTTGTACATAGCTTGTTTACTCATATTGTGATCAGTTATACAATGGAATCTTATTTTTGCTACTCAGTATGGCACACAAAAAAGGCTATTGTAAAAATAAAGAGACTGAAATATTTGAAAGTAGTATTGAATTTACAACAATATTTCATACCAATTCTTAGAAGTGTAATAGAAAAATAAACTTGGATCTGGTTCTCAGGTTGGTGTGTTTCTGTGTGTGTGTGTGTGTGTGTGTATGCAGTGAACAAACATCCATTATATAAAGTATGGATTCAATAACCCGTGGTATTCTCGCTGTTGCTTAATTTTGACTCCCAGTATCCATCACTATTAAGCTCTGTTGGCTGGGACTACTGGAATGCAATTTCTATAATAACTGGGATGCCGTAGGTTGATTTTCCTGTTAGAGATTCATCACAATAACCTCATTAGATTACATATTCCTTAACGTTTTCCCTAATGAATTACTTAAATGTATCAAAGACAAGTGATTTGAAAATACAAACCATGATAGTGAATTCGGAATGCATAAACTTGATCAAAATACTGATTTCAACTATCCTTTCACAATAATGTTTCCACAATGTTTGCTGCTTAGGAAACCAATTTGATCTTTTTGAAGGAGAAAATTGAATTTTATGATTGTGTTACATTTTTTTTTTAAAAAAAAATCATTGAACAGAGTCATCATGTGCAAAAAGTACTTAGTGACTTTTTAGAATTCCTTTCAACCAAGGAAAGCCTTTCAGAAAAAAAGATGTACTTCAGAAACATATATGAAAAAATAGTGAAGATACCCAGGCAGCACTTTGGAAGCACATGGTTAGTTAACATTTTGAACATGAAGATAAAGCAAGCGTTTCCATAATGACTTTGAAGCTATGCACTCAATTTGCAATGAATAAATTATTATATTTTAGGTGATCATACGAAAAATAGTAACTACATATATACAATTTAGAAAGGAATGTGGAATAGTTTACTTTTTATTTTGAGAAGGTAGCTTTAGTGATTTATCTAAAAATATTGAAAAATATTGTATAGGTCTGTGCTTGAGGAATGCATTTATATAATTTAGTTGTTTGATACAAATTCTTGAATGAAAATATTAACTTGAAATAGAGGCATGTAAGGGGGAACAAAATAAGTGATATGCAACCACAATGATCTTAGTATCTCTGTAATATATTTTATTCAATCATATAAGGGATAGAGGTAGATAAAGAAGAATTCCACAACAACATGGGATGCTGCAGGTGTTGTATTTTTGAGTTGATTGCCAGCACCAAATTGCCTCGAAAACTTCAGAACATGGAATTAAGAAATTTCATCCAGCGGTGATGCCATTTGTGGGGGAAGTGAAAGATTATATAACATTTTCAGAAAATTTAGGAATAGGAATAGCAGTCATTTGCTTCCAAATATAGTTTCAAAAGGCATTTTTGCCTGTCCACCAGCAAGGACCGGTAGACGCGATGCTCTGTAATAAATGGAAGGCACCCGGTTGCCTTGCTTAGATGTATAGACAGTCCATGGAGTCTCACTGTAAATATATTTAATTCATTTTTGAAGAGTTTAAAGAGAGTTTTGAATGAATTTTGACTTCTATGCATGTTATTCTATATTTATATTAGAAATAAGGTAATGAAACCTGTTCCTGTCACTTATGCACATTCAGTTTGTTTATTTGGAGAGATGAAATTCAATAAAAATATCTGAGCAGAAGAATTGTTCAATTCTTTTTTATTCAATGTGAGAATATTTAGTTACAAATCGGCTATCTAAGAATTCAGGACAATACAGGTAGTTCTGGCTTAACAATGGTAATTAGGAATGGCAACTCTTTCATTAAGTGTGACATGTGACTGTTGACTTACATTGAAATGCAGCAGTTCCAGTTAACGTTATACAAATCCTGCATAGTGGTTAAGCACAATTTTGTGTGATCGTTATTTGCAACCTCCTGCTGGTGAGGGGGTCCTTGGTGCTTTCTGAGCTTCGTTGTTTTCTTGCAGACGTTTCATTACCCAAATTAGGTGACATCATCATCAGCACTGATGATGACATGTCCACAAGAAAACAACCAAGCTCTGAGCACCAAGGACCTCTTTTTTCAACCCTGAACTACACATTGTCTTCTTTATTGACTCTGCTGGTTTTATCATTGACTTGCCTGTTGGAAGCTAGTGGTGAAGGCTGCAAATAGTGATCTGTGAAAATGGGATGCTGTGGGTTTTATATTTGTGAGTTGGTTGCCAGCACTGAATTGCTATCATGTTATGACAGGGATGCTACAATGGCTATAATTATGAGGACCAGTTGTAAGACTTCTTGTTCAGCACTGTTGTAATTTTGAACAATCACTGAATGTGTGGACATTAACCAAGGACTACTTGCAATAGTTTAAGATAAAATCTAGTAAAATCAGAATGTATTGGGAATTTGTTATATATTAATTTGTTATATACATGTTAACCTTGTGAACTCTCAGGCTTCCTCCTTCTGTTATATATTCAAGATGGACAGTATTTAATATTTATTTGTTATGTATATGTAGGAGTGTGGGTCTATACATATGTTGTATATAGTATGTTTAGATGTGTGTCATGTATGTGTTTCACTTTGAGAGCGGGCAACTAAATTTCATTTTTGAAGTGTGCCGTTGTGCCCACAATAAAAAAAATGACAATAAAGGTTATCTTATATTATCTTATATGGGAGCATATGAAAAAATTAGCTATTTTTCTTTCCTGTCTAACTATAGAAGTACAGTACATAATCATTCTTTTGTATTGTGTACATAGCTCTTTTTTGTCTGTATTACTTGCTACTGGGTATGCAGTATGAAAATAACTCATCATCTCCGATGCTCAAGAAACCTCAGGAATTATTCTGTTAAGTGAAGCAAAGGATTTCTTCTGTTCATTTCCAGCAGGTTGAGGTCTACTATAACATCCCTTAATCTATTGTACTTTGTTCATCAGTGAATAAGAAGGACAAAGCTGGAAAATGTTGGGAGTAACAAATTCAAGGTTGTACTGCAGGTTGATATTTGATCTCACAAAATCATGCACACATACAGACATAATTTTAAAGAGATTTCCATGACACAGTGGTCTTTTAATGTCTTCCATTGTATTCTAGCCCTCTATATTAGAAATAAGTTTGGGAATATGATATACAAAATGCTCAAAGAAGTTGAGAATAAAGAGTGAATGCACATAGAGAGCAATTCCTTTTAAATAGTTGCTATTAAAAGTTTTAAATGTATGTTTAAAATTTAAATTGAAGATGACCTGACTTTCTGGAGGTGGTAAGTATTTTCCACCAGGGTTGGTGTCCCCATCTTAATTAATTAATTAAATATCTACAACTCCCATCTCACTAAGTGACCCTGGGTGGTTAGCTAATAATGATGCCTAGTTGGATCAAAATCTTGACGCAGAGATTAAAGTTAACTTTATAACTAAACAATGCAGGACTTAAGGAAAGATCTGTCCCAGAACAGTCAATGCCAAGAAGTGCTGAAGAGGTTATCCAACCTGAAGAAAAGCCATATGTGAAAACAGGTAAGCCCTTAGTTTTATTTAATTATTTATTTATTAGCCTTTGGGCCATATCAAAGTGCAAAGTTCCAGAAACAAATTACTACAATTTGATAAAAGCAATTTAAAATGGAATTAGATAAAATACAATTTAAAATGAAATGGGAATAAAATAAAATGAAATTGGAATAAAATACAATAAGTTAAAATATAGATAAAATATGATGAAATTATATTTTGGTGTCATCCCTCAATCTACTCCAATCAGTCCCACATATGCAGGTCTCAACTGAGCCATTTTGCCTAAGTACTGTGCTGTGTTAAATGTTATTTTCAGATTCTGGCCAGACATAAGATAAGTTGTTTTGATATAGGGATCCCAATGGGTCATTCATTTGGTATATAGACCGAGGTACTGTCTCTCACCCTCTTATACAGGCAACAATCAAATAGGATGTGAACCAGGTCTTCTACCTCTGGCCCTCCACAAATGCAGAAGAAATTCATTGTAGGATATGGAATGGAATCTTCCATATCTAACCATTGTGTTGAGCTGTTCGAATCTCGCTCGCGTAAATATCTGCCTTAGATGTTTTGGCAGTTGTAACTTCAAATAGCTGTCTATTTGAAAAGTATGTTTGTATTTGCTCAGACATTTCAAGTTACCCACCTTACTAAGGATAGCTATGTCATTTTTTGTTTCTATATCCTTAATTATTTGGGCAGCTCTTTTTTTAAATCGTACTCCTGTTATGCAAGATTCAGTAAGGCCACAACTTCTTACAAAATTTGTTAATTTGGTGATCCAGGAGATTTGTGATTGTAATTTTATTTGCTCTAGTAGACATAACTTGGGGAGTCTATCAGTCTCCATTTCACTGACTTTATGCCACTAGTTATATGCTCTAATTTTAGATAATGCATGAATTGTATGAATTCCCAATTCAGCTCTAACTGCTGAAGAAGATGTTCTTAGATCTACACCCAAAATACATCTCAAATGCTGGGACTGTGTTTGTTCTAGGACTGTGGTTGAGTATAGACCCCAAACTTCTGCTCCATACAAGAGCATAGGGATAACCTTAGCTTTATATACTTTAATTAATGGGGCTAGGGACCCTGGGTAACTATGATTCTTTAGTTTAAGCAGTAAATTCAAATGAGCTTTTGCTCTAAGTGTATTCCATTGATGATGGCAGGCCCGAGATCCAGTCTTGGAAAAAGTTACACCTAAATATACAAAGGTGTTAATCTGTTCAATTGGTTCACTGCCATCTGTTGATGTTTTCCAAAAACCATGATTTTTTATTTAGATTTACTAATAGTTAGGGCGTTATCCTGGCAATAAGAGCTGAATCTTCTTAATAGCCTACGTAATCCTACTTGTGAATATGATAATAAAATCATATCATCAGCATACAGCAAGCTGTAACATGTATTTAGTATCATCGGCATATGTATCATAGGATCCTTCATTAACCCTGGCAAATCATTGATATATAAACTAAATAATAATGGGCCAGGATACACCCTTGCCTTACCCCTTTATTTGTGTGAATTCTGTTAGACCCCATTAACCCCACACCGTACCCTCAAACAGGTACTTATGTAAAGGGTTTTAATCAAAGCCAGTAGTCTAGGTTCTATTTTAAGAGCTGTCAGTTTACTCCATAGTACTTCTCTGTTTACCATATTAAATTCAGAGTTATAATACTGTGATGTGTTTTGAGGGATATACACATTTACCAGTATTAACTCGAACTTTTTAAAATTTCCATGTACTTAATATCTTTCAGCAATTTATATATCATCCTTGAATATATTCAAGATACTGATAAAATATTCATATACATTATTTTACAATTGAATGTACAAATTGTAAGCCCTTGACTATTTTCACATAATTTCTACTTAAGGACACATTATTTGAATATTGATTTCATTTATTTTAACTTACAATATATGTGACAATTATCCAAAATATTAAGTGCTACTGAACACATTACTTGAAGTGTGAAATAATTAACACATATCTATAAAATATAAATATATTTTATTAATATAATTCATAATACAAATAAAGATTTTTATTTTTTTTCATACCCATTCAGTTATTAAAACTCTAGGCATGTTGTAATAGGTTAAAATTATAAAAGCAACAATAGAAATCAAAATAATGAATAATTGAGTACGGTAATAATCTTTCCCAAAGCTGGATACTATTAAAACTTAGCTAAAGTTGAAAACCTAGTGAAATGCAATTCTCATTAAAAATAATCTTATAAAAACCATATGGGAAATAGTTTTAATGACCTTTAGGGGTAAAGAATTGCAAAGTTTATATCTTCATATGTGATCTATTTAGTTTTCTGTACATATGAATTTTTATAAATCTAACTTTTTGTGCATTTAATGTTACCATGCAAGAGCAGGAAATATACATGCAATTGAAAAAAAGAGATAATTCGAGCTTTATAGCAAATATTTGTAGATTTTTGGGGTATGGAAACTGAAATATTTTTAAGTATATCTCCACATTGTAGGATCCCCAAATTTGGAGGCATTTGTATGTTAAGTACATGCTGTAGAAACTTATACAAAGGACCACCATTGAGGAGACGGCCAATTTAAAATTTACTATTATACTGGGTATGTTTCAGATATATTACATGAAGAGAATGAAATTAAAAAGCCAGGTTGAATGTAGAAATTTTGACTAATTGATGAAATTGCAGAGATGAAAATGCTAGAATCATTTCCAAAAGTTGCAAATTGCATAGTAAGAATATACAACTGTGAAGGTTCTGGCTTGGATAATCACTCTTAGGCCTTGCTCACTGGTGAAACTAAAAGGCAAGCCACTTTCCAAAGCTTTTAATGTCCAGTCTGTAGATACTAGGAATGTCATTCTAGCAAACACTTGGACTAAAGCCATTTAGAGCTTTATAAAGCAACAGCTAAAGTGGGCTTTGAAATAAACTGGCAACCATTGTAAATCACAAGGAAGAGATATGACTGATTTTGCAGTTGTTGGAATTGCTAAATAATTTTCAAAAAATCTCTATGTAAAAATATAGTAATCTATATAACGTCACATAGCCATATTAGTATAATGTTCATGGGATGCAATAATTTGTTGGAAACATAAGTTCTATTTTTACCTTTGGCTCCATACTGATACATTATTTTAATCCTGGAGTCTGTTCACAGATCTTAAGGTTCCCTTAAAATCTTTGTCTTATCAAAGATAAGCTATAATTAAGCATTTTAATTGTAGGCTATGCTTGCTTATCCTCAGATATGTCAAGATACAACTTAGAAATATATTAAGATGAAAATTTCAATAGTACATTTTTACATTAGGTAACAAATTTCATCCTGAGCCCCATATATAGCAAAACTGCTTATACTATAAAATGGATAGATTGAGATAAGTTGCCTTATCCAATTTACTCACTTTTCTTCACCTGAAGTTTTTTATTATTATTTCTATTTAATATACACATTTGCAAAATATATGAATTGATAGCCAAATGCTTGAATGAATAAAAATGTATGTTACAATCTTAGATTAATAGTATTGAATACAAAATTAATTGTATCAGGAAAACAATAAAAAGAAAATATTTGTTGGATAACATTACATGTGATATTTTCAATTTTTTTTTTAAATGTAAGTGTTTTGCATTTTTTAAAAATTGAAAGTGATATCACATTTAATCTTGCTTCAACTTATTCTAGGCTCTGAAAAGAGTTGAAGCAGATGTAAATAGTTGTAGAAAAATCCAAACATCAAGTTGTGGGGCTGTTTTGAGCTCAGATATTTCATATGTGTCAGTTTTTAGTTTTCGCAGATCATTGAAAAAGCTTTAAGTATATTGCAAAAGTTGTAAGAAAACTTTAAAAATAGTAGAATAAACTGGAAAGGGAACACCTGAAATGCCAGTGTAAAATATAGGTTATATGTAGTTGAGAAAGACTGACAGTTACAAACTATTTTAAGGGTAAAACATATTATTTTTTTTCTCTAGGTATTTATTTTCTGTTATTTCAAGTTCTATTCATTCTTTTCAGTAATTGTTGATATATTTTCTAAACTTATGCAGAACACATACATGTTAAAACAGAACCCGAAGATGAAATTGAGACCATACTACATGAAGTTCTTGACTCACAATTTGGTATGAATGTACCCTAGATTCCTTTTTTTCAAATGTATGGATTTTTCCTTATTTTTTTTTAGAAAAAAATGTTTGCCACTACTTTAATTTATATAAGATAGTTTACAGCATACCTTACTGCTTATTCTTCTGTTGCTTTGACAATTATTTCTTTCTGAGGTGGAAAAATGTTGTACTAGCTGTTATCATACTCCACCTGTTTTTGCACAGCATATAGAATTTTACCATGATAAGAGTAAATGTTTATGGCATAGTCTATTCATACTTGGCATTAAACAAAGTAGACCACAACCTACTTTTTGATAATATAGAAAAAAGTGAGATAGAGTGCATTACTACCAAATAGGTACGTAACTGGCTGATAACTGCACTCAACAGGTAGTCCTCAATGAAATTAAATCTACATGGAAGGAAGCAAGCAGTGGTGCACCCCAAGGTTTTATCTTAGGCTCAGTACTCTTCAACATCTTCATAAATGATAGAATGGGAACTCTTCAAATTGGCAGATGACACCAAGCTAGGAGGAATAGCCAACACTTTAGAAGATAGGCTTAAGTTCCAGAAGGATCTTTACAGACTTGAACATTGGGTCTTATCCAACAAAATGTGTTCACTGGTGAGAAAAGTAAGGTTTTAAACTTAGACAAGAAAAAGGAAATGCACAGGAATAGAATAGTTGGTACCTACCTCAACAGCAGTAACTCTCAGAGAGGGATCTAGGAGTCCTAGTGGACAATCATTTAAGTATGAGCCAGCAATGTGTTGCAGCTGCCAAATACCCAGTGCAGTTCTAGGCTAGAGGGATAGAATCAAGATCACATGAAGTCTTAGTATTCTTTATTCAGCTTTGGTAATGCCACTCTTAGACTACTGTGTCCAGTTTTGTTCACCATGCTACAAAAAAGATGTTGAGTCTCTACAAAGAGTGCAGAGAAGAATAACAAAGATGATTGGGGGTTGGAGGCTAAACTGTACAATGAACAGTTTCAAGAACTGGGTATATCTAGCAGTCTTCCAATATTTAAGGGGGGGGGGCAGCCTATTCTTCAAAGCACCTGAGGGCAGGACAAGAAGCATGAACTGTTAGTACCAGTTTATAAAGCCTTGGTAAGACCACACTTGAGCTATTGCATCCAATTTTGGTCACCACAATATAAAAAAGATTTTGTGGCTCTAGAAAGAGTGCGGCAAAAGCAACAAAGATGATTAGGGGAGTGGAAGCTAAAACATATGAAGAATGGTTGAGGAATTGGGTATGTCTAGTTTAATGACAAGAAGGACTAGGAGGGACATGATAGCAATATTCCAATATCTAAGGAGCTGCCACAAAGAAGAGGAGATCAACTTTTTCAAAACAGAAAAGGCAGAACAAGAAGCTATGGATGGAAATTAAGAAGAGAATCAACATAGAACTAAGGTGAAATTCCCTGACAGCAAGAACAATTAATCAGTAGAGCGGCTTGCCTCCAGAAGTTGTGGGTGGTCCATCACTGGAGGTTTTTAAGAAGAGATAGCACAGCTATTTGTCTACATTGGTCATAGGAGGCCTGCCTGAGTAGGGATTATACTAGAAACCACCAAGATCCCTTCCAACTTCCCTTATTCTGTTATTATGTAATGGACTTACCCTATGTGAGTGAGTGAGTGAGTGAGTGAGTGAGTGAGTGAGTGAGTGAGTGAGTGAATGATTCACTAAGAAGCCTACATTACCCTTTTTTAATTTTAATTTTTAATACCCTTTAATTTTATAGCCAAGCACAGTTTAAAGAAAGATATATACAAACATGTACAGACTAATTTAAGGATTTGTGTGGAGAACAGACTACATTTAAGTCATATTTATCCTGAAATATTAGAAATATTGAAAATTATATTGAAATACTGAACATTATAAAGAGTTCACAAACTTAAGCACCACTGTTTATGCTTTTTTAAAAGGAAATGTGCAATTTCTATTACTCTTTTAAATGGATGTTTGATTTAATAAAATTAAGGCTATTTACTGAAATTCAAAGTTTCTTTTTTTTCCAATTTTTTTAAGAAAAAGGTGAAATAGATGAAGATCATGAAAATACAGATTTTCAGGAGGAAGAAGAAAAAGAAGACAATAATGAAGTATCTGTAGAACCCACAACAGAACAGAGCTATGATGAAGAAATAGAAGATAAAATACCTGAAATATCAGAGAAATCAAGTTCTACCCAAGAAGGTATCTCAGTTGTAAAGAAAAATAAATATATTTCTCAGATATTTATGTAGCATTTAATTTTCTGAACCAATTCAGGGAGGCATTGAGGGTTTTAATGTTTAATGTATATGTAGCTCAATGTTTGTTATAATCGTTCACTTAGCCTTTGTGATGCTGTCTATGCTATTGTCTTTTACTAATGTGTGTGTGTGTGTAAAATGTGTGTGTGTACATGTATCTATGTATGTATTAAGGCAACATATATATGCTTTTATATATCTTTTTCCAGACTTTTATTTATTTATATATATCCTTTTTACATACATACATATATGCATACATACATAATGTCATGTTCTGATAGATGAGACCAGTAAAAATGGAACTCAAAGGTTGCTAGGGACCAGCTGGGTTTGGGGGACACACCCAACCCTGAGCTCTCACCAGAGACTCCCAACTGGATAGTGATAGGGAGACCCTGATGGAGGAAGGCTCCCGGGCTGAGGGGGGCACCACCTGGGGTCTTCCCCTGCTTGCACCCTCCACTACTCACCTTTGTAGAGATGTTGGCAGGAAATGTGTCATTTTAAATAATGTTTCTACTTGTAAATAAATGGTATTTATTTAGGAGTGCCTTTGCTTGAATTCATTTTACGTTAAGATTCATGGGAGTATTCAATTGCAAGAAAAAAAAGATTGTAAGAAAACTTGCATAGTTCTGAGACTCATTCACAATCCTTGAATTCTAATACCAGTGTATCATATAGAATGAGCCTCTATGCTTGTAACTTGGTAGATTAATTTAATTTAGTAAACTTGAAATTTTGCAGAATTTTCTGTAATCTTTGTACATATTTAAAAAGAAACATTTTACTTTCAGAACCTGCAAGTAACTACCAACCTAGAGATCAAGAAGAATATGAAACTGATGGTATCTAATGTCTTTCATAATTTGATATAAGAGTTAGATATAAGATGGACTGCTATATAAATGTTATAGATGTATGGATGGGTGGGTGGGCGGACGGACGGACGGACGGACGGACGGACGGACAGACAGACAGACAGACAGACAGACAGACAGATAGATAGATAGATAGATAGATAGATAACTTTCTTGTGCCCAAAGTGACTAAGTACTGAATATGCAGGAACTGCAAATTATATTCAGCACTTTCAGTGAAATTTTTATATAGAGAAAAAGTGAATCTAAAGGACCAAGGACTCTTGAATCTAGTTTTGATAAGAGTTTCAACAATTCAATTACCACTTAAAATAAACTTACTTTATATTATTTTAAGTAAAATTGCTGATTGAGAACACTAGGAAAAGGCATACATGTTTCAGCTATCCATACAAAAATTGTCAGTGCTTGAATCTCACACATGGGAACTTGTTACTGTGAGCACTAGTCGAATATTTGTAGATTTTCTCTGGGTTGAATACAGATTTCTGTTACCTGATTTCTCTGATTTTTTTTTACTTTTGGCTTGAGATTTGTGGCAGCAATATTAAGCATCTCCTGCCTGGTGGTATATTAATGGCTTTTGTAATATAATATGGCATTCCTAATTTTCAGATTTAAACGACTATTCTCATGTGGAAGAAGGCACAAACGAGCCAGAAATCCCAGGTATGTCTGATTTATATTCATCTAAAGGCAATATATTTAATGATTTGTAAAAGTAAATGGTTAAAAGTACATAATAGATTGGTTAATAAAAAGTGTTTACTATCATTTAATTGTAAAACCTGCCTTTTCTATTTGAATGATCAAGAGTAATAAGTATCTTGCTTGTTTTTGGTCACACAAAATAATGTTGACAGAAAAGGGTTATATCTACTTCTTCTACCTAGAAACTGGGACTAAGATTTCTTTCTGAATTTAGAAGAAACTCCCTTCGTTTGCACGCACTGATTTCAGTCTTTAATTTGCTTAGTTCCATCTTAAGGGGGAGAATAAAAAATTACACACACACACACACACACACGCAAACTGTATATTTGGAAATAAATGTAAAAGAGAATTGTTCATGTTCCCAAGTATGTTCCTTGCTACTTGTCAGTAGTTTTAAGCCTGAAGAAGTGGAGTTAATTTTTCTTGACAGATTCATCTTTGGGGAAACCAAAAGTTACTTCATGATCTTATAAAACTGCGATTCATTTCTGACTTCTTTGAAGAATGTGACTGAGCAGGAAAGAAAGCCTATGCACTCAATCTTTTAAGCTACTCCTAGAGAGTCTTTTCATTTCCAGTTTTGTGAATCAAATAGAATTAGTAATGTGAAACTATGTATAAGTATGTGGAATGGTAACTAGCAGTTGGGGAGAAAATGGTCTTACATATTTAAACAAAAGACAATAGTAATTGCAGTCAATACTGTATCACACTTTCTAGATAGCAAGTACAACTGAGGAACACGTCTGTGAAAGAACAGTGGCTTTCAGCCATTTAGGAGTCAGTATGATACTTCAGGAGGTCATGATTTCCATTTTCTGCCCTAGCTACCCCTGAAAGGATATACTTTCCATGTTTTTTACAGATCTTAGTATTGTTTTCATTTACAGAATCTGGTCCAGAAAATACAGAACAGCCTGACCATGTAGAAGAAGTTGGTATGTTTTTTCATGGTTTTCTAATAGGATTTCAGTAGTGATTATTAGCATGGCATTGTTTTCCATCATTCATCTGTCATATAAAACAAATAATGCCGTATTTTAAGTCTCTTTCAGTGAGTGCTAGCTTACTTATGGGTTCCCAAAGTTTTGCCCTATTTGAATCTATATAAATTCTGTGGTTATGTGATGTTTAAATAGATTTTTCCAGCTGATTGGTATCGTCTGCTGATGGAGATCTGTTTTGTTTGCTGAACACATGAGACTGATGTAGAAAAACAATGATAGAGCACTGAGTGGGTATGAAAGAGCTGGCTCGTCAACTTTGCAAAACCTAATATGTCAGTGCAAATAAATTGCCATGCCAAACCAACTAGAAACAATATTGTGGCCAGAGGTATTGGTACCCTTCTACTTTTTCCCAAAGAATCCCAATGTGCTATGAAGTATGTTGAAACAGACACAAGGAAATGGCAGTTACCATTTTTATTGCAGATTCCATAGAGCAGACACTTTGCTTTTAATGCATGACTTAACATATTCTTGTAAACAATGTTTAATGATTAATTATTATTTTATATACTTTTATTTTTATTGTAATAATTATTAATATTATTGTAACTAAGACAAATGATATGTATTTAACATATGATCTACTTGGTCCATAATAACAGAAAATTTGAATTCATAGCAACTTCCCATGTTTAATATTAAGATGTGCAATCTTTTTTTAGAATTAGAGAGAGAAGACTTCACTGAACATTCTGGTACGAAGATTCTTATTTACTTACTGTGCATTAAATATTTACAGTATCTATATCTACTCTACTCAATGTTTGGATGTAAATTGGCCAAGAAATATATTTCATACTTTCCTCTGCAGTTTTCAGAAATAAGTATAAGTACTCTCTCATGTGTGATTTTACTTTCATAGAAGAAAAAAGGTTTTTTTTTTAAAAAAAGGTTTTCAATTACAAGAAAATTCAAATGCTATCAACATTTTAGTCAATGATAGGAAGTGTTATGTTGCTATAATTCTAATAATTGATTTACATTTTATTTATTTGTAAATTTATGGCATAGAACAATTTCACACTTCCCTTCTTTTTAATGAAAAGTAATATTTTTAGTACAAAGCTGTTACATTCCAAATTGTGGCCTTCTCAATCCATTTGTTTTCTAACTGCAGTCTGTATTTATGGGACGCAAAATATTTTCTTCATCTGTGAATTCTGTGTCTATACTTTGTTTTTAAATAGATAGTAATGGCACTGTTATTTCAGATTCAGAACATTTAACTGGACACTTATATAAACATAGGCAAAGTGAAAAAATAATACTATAATTAGAACAAGGAATTGTAGCTATTATGGAATTATTTATTGCTGAATTGCAGGTACCCTATTTAGCAACAGCTACAATGCTTACTTTCAACTCCTGCTAAAAAGCACAGGAAATTGTACATATTCTTACTTATTTAATATTCTAGGATGACTACATATGTGTGTTTTCTATATCCTCTATAGTATAGAAAATATAGGAAGCATCCATTAATTAAGGATTCTTATGCGGATGCATAAAGTGAAATAAAACACATACATTAAATAAAAAAATAAAATATATAAAAATCTGCTTTTGAGTACCGTACATTGGTAAGCAAGGACATACTGAATAATATCTCTTGAACAGTACTACCTTCCAGGTAGAAATATAATATTTTAAGGGAATCAGTGGAAGTAATAAAATACTTCAAACATCAGTAATACAATCAACTGAAAACTCTACTTATAAAGTTCTTCTAGCTATAGCTTCATACTTTTTTAAATACGTTTCTTTCAGAAATGTTTTTATTGTTAGCTATGTTTTTCTAAAACTTCCATTTTTTTGTTATAATAAATCTACAAAATCCGCTGATCATCCAGAACAAATACATGAACGTAAGTATAAATTGATCATTTTTATTTCTAAGGATTTTAGGGCAATACGTTATTAGAAAATATTTATTTTTAGCTTTCATTTTCTGATTACTCCCACCACATTTTAAAGCAAAGATTCACACAAGCAAAGTAGATAAAATTGATGCTAGTGAATATTATGTGTGGTCAAATACATTCTGATCCCTGATGAGCAAGATCCAAGTGATACCTGGTTTGCAGAGACATTTGCTTCAGAAGGATAAAAAATCTAGATAGGGTTGCAATCATTTGACTGAAATTCCTCTTCTTTTTATGTATGTCAAGTGTGACATGTTAAAAGAAAGGCCCTTGAATCCACAGTTACAGATGTCATCATGACACCATGATTAAGCATTGTGCATGTAATTATGATGCTCAGAACATATGGAATATATAGTTTGAGCAAGATGGCTTTTCCCTCATCTTTCCAAAGTCAAAGTTCTGGTCCCCAAAATTAAACACTGTTGTATAAAAAAAGTATTCTTTCTCTTACCAGAAGTAATTGATTTTTCAATGTGCTGAAATATTTGAGTGCTTCAAGTTTAGATAAATAGATGAAATGTTCTTTTTTTAAAGGATTGTTGAATAAACATTAAACTGAATAATCAACCTGACAGGCACTGGTTTTCCTACTGTTACTTGTTTAAACCAAACTGAGATGAAAATTACAGCCAAATTTAAATATATTTTATATATATTAGTAAAATATATTTACATATATTAATAAAAAGAAAAAGTATACTTTTGTATTGTATTCTGTTATTTATAGTGTTTTAAATACTGTAACCTGAGATGCGTAGTTTTATATCAAATAAAGAAGTAAATGCAAATGTTACCATTAAGAGTATGGAAAAAGCCTTATTCATCGCATTAGCCATTTTAGGTGGCAAGGACATGACTTTGTTTACCTCAGCAATAGTCTTAAAAAAAATAGTTCAAATATGTTTTATTGTGCCTTATGAGTTTTCCATAATAATTTATTAATAGAGATGTTATTGTTTCCTTAGGTAATGCAGATGTTCCAGATTCTGTTACTGAATCTATTCAACCAGGTATATATCCATGAATTATTTAAGATAAAAAATGGAAATGAAATTATTAATTATTGTAAATATTTTGTTAAGTTCATTTATATGCATTTTATACAAACAATTTTGGAATAAACAAATGCAGTATTGCAAGAAAGCTTCACTGTATAATTTGGAGCCAGTGGAGATAGTCCTTGATTTACAACCGTAATGGAGCCTGTCCATTGCACTCATCAATGGTGACAGTCATAAAGCAGATCATCATGTGTCTGACCCAGTTTTATTTATTTATTCAATTTCTGTAGCAACCCATCTCAGTCAATGATTCTGGCCAGCTTACAATTCAAAAAATATATTATAATTAAAACACTAAAAATATTTTAAAATATTTAAATACACATAGTAGCCAAGATATTTGGCCAGTTAGCAATACAGCCAGGAAATGGGGCCCTCAACACATTTACCACCCCAGGCAGGGGAACATAGCCCGGTTTTTACGGCCTTATGAAAGACTTAACAGGTTTCATTCTGATCATCTAGTGTTCCATAAAATGGGCCAGTGCAGAAAAACCCTGCAGTGACCTTTTTTTAATTTTTATTTTTTTACTTTTTTTGTGGCAATCGTTAAGCAACTCAGCATTGTCATTAAGTCATTGAGCAAATGCAAACCCATTGTTTGTTATGGACACTTTTGCCAAAAACAGGAAGTAAACTCTAGGTTTACTTGTGATCATGTAACTGCAGGATGCTGCAAACAGCTGTAAATGTGGACAGACAGTCAAGTACCTGAAAGGCGGTCATGTGACTGCAGGGGGCAGGTATGAGAGTGTTGCAACTGGGTTGTAAGTAACTTTTGGGGTTCCAGCATAACTTCAAATGGTCCCTAAGTGGCTGATTGTAAGTCAAGAACTGGCTATTGAGGTTTTTCACATTTCGACCAGTTTTACCAATTGTGGTAAGCATTTGGTAAAACTGCTTACCACAATTGGTAAAACAAGCATTGCAGTTATTTGGATCACATTTGTATATTCCTTGACATTTATTTCTGTTTTATATGTTTGAATGCATGCAAATAAGCATGGATTTTCCTATTTTTACGTGTGAAAATAGATTCGAAATAGATTTGGAGTTAATTCTTGTTTGAATGGGAAAGAGGGCATTATGAGTTGTCAGAAAAACAGTAAAAAACAGCAAATATATGCCTTTTGTGGCTCCTTGAATAAAATGGGAGACAGAAATTTCAGTGTTTACTGAAAGCAGATTAGAAATGAAATAGTGTTCTTTTTCTAACTATTTGGCAGGAGTACCTAAAAATCAGATTATTGCAAAGATTTAGCTCTGGGGACCCAAGCTTTGATATGAACAAGTAATCTTTGAATTACAACCATTTGTTTAGTGACCATTCAAGTTACAATAGCACTTTAAAAAGTGACTTATGACTGTTTTTCACATTTGAGTATTGTATCATCTCCATAGTCACCTGATCAAACTTTGAATATTTGGCAACTGGGCTGTGTGGTTGATGATTGAAATATCCTGGGGACATGTGATTACCTTTTGCGACCATCTGATAAGCAAAGTCAATGGGAAAGCTAGAGTTACTTAACAACTGTGTACTAACTTAACAATTCAGTAAATCACTTAACAATTGTGTCAAGAAAGGTCATAAAATGGGACAAAACTCATTTAACTATCTTCTTAGCAACAAAAACTTTGGGCTTAGTTATGGTTGTAAGTTGAGGACTACCTGTATAAGGAAGCAAAAGAAAAAAAAGAATAAAATTTGAGTGGATAGAAGTTCTGCAAAGAACATTAATCACTTTAACAGCAAGGGTTAAGTGGGTTTCATTTCATTTCATTTTCCATTGCCTAGCAGCAATTTTGGGAACACTTAAAATTCCCATTTCCACCTGAATTGAATCTGTTGAATGTTAAAGGTAATACTGTATGTGCTACTAGACCAGACACTATCTTGGTTGGGGTGTTATGGTTAGCAATTGTGCTCTATTTTGTAATTCATCTATATTTTTTATTTTGCTATAATCTATGTAATTT